GGACTTCTGTAGAAGCTGTGCATGCCACCTCCTTTCTGGGGTGAATTCACTCTGCCTCTGGCTCCTGTCCTTGGGGACCCCCAGGACCCCCCAGGAAGGACCTGGCTGCTTCTTGAGCATAGGGCAGTCACTGCAGTCTCAACCCTGTGCCTGACTGTGGCCAGGCAGGGTCACGGTACTGGCACTTTTCATCCACCAGGTAGGACAGGACACCTGTGAAGTAGATTGGGCTAAGAGTCTGTGACTGGCCCAAAGCCACCCATGAGCTCCATCCATGGCTGAGAACTACAACCCAGATCTCCTGCGTCCCAGTCTCATGCTCTTAAGCGCTGTGCCATACCGACACTGGATACTAATAGCTGGTGGGAGGGGATGTGGAGCTATATGAAAAGGAAAGAGAAAGAAATGAAGGAACGCAGAGCAAGACAGAGAAGGAGTGGAAGACATCTTTGCTGGAGAAACAGCAGAGGAGGGGGCCGAGGAAACAGAGGAACAGTGGGAGTCATGCTGTATGGAGTCAAACTGGCCTTGACCCATCTAGACACCTCAGGGCAACAGCGCTCTCAGGGTGACAGGCTGGGTTCTTGCAGCCCTGCTGGGAGCTGCCAAGGATTGAACCTGGGTTGTCCTGCATACAGAGGAAGTTCCCTGTCTGTGAGACCCATCTCTGAACCCCAGTGGATAACTGGAAGACGAACTAAAAAGGACCATTTAAATGGGTAGCAGAAGTGAGTGGATTTTTTTTAAGTAAAAAACAAGAAGCCAGACAAGAACACAACACATGGGAGTTCCAAGCTTTCCAGTTCTAGGATTCCAGACTGGCTTTGTCTAGGTTCAGAGCCTGTTTGTCTCCATTCCTTCTCCCAGTCTCTTTCTCTAAGACAGACACAGACACACACCATGCAGAGCACAAAATGCAAATATGGAAACACATACTTTCTCCCTGAATGACTCAAAAGTGAGTCTCACATGGCTGTTGCTGGCACTGCTTGGCTGGATTGAGTCTTCCTCTGACTAGCACTAGCTAAGGTTTAAAAAATGCACACCAAGTAGCACAATGGGTGGGAAAGCATCACAAATGCTTCGCTAAGCAGCCAAAATCCACAGTATTCCCACTTGGCTTGGAAATTCCCAAATTAATGAGAAATTGGAAGATATTCCAACATTCCAATATTGCCTGTGGGTTCACCATGCACAGTGCTTCCTCTTAACCGCTACTCTCTCCCTTGGCATATCAAAGCAATTTGTACAAGAAATTAGGTGAGCTACACAGAGGAAAAATGTCAGCGGAAGATGCAGGAACAGCCACGGAGAAGGAAGGAATGCAATACACGGGCTGAGCAGACAGAAGAGGCGCGGGGGGTTTGGCTGGATGGTCCAATACTTACTGCTCTTGGAAAGAAGCCACCCATGAGTGGTTGCACTGATGTCTCCTCTCACCCCACCCCCCACCCCTGCTTTTTAGGCATAGGCATGTTTGTGGAAATGCCCTGCCTGTGCATATGTTTGCATGTTGTTTCCTTAAGTCCTCCACACTTTTCTATCCACTTTAAGGCCACAATCAGCTGTTTTTGCCCTTGATTCACTCTTCTTAACATTGTGCTTCTGTGATATACATGTAAGCACTGAAGGTGCTGATCCAGAATCTACATATTAATGAATAGCCATTGGAAAAGGCATACAGGCCAGGTTCAAATGTCATGATAAACAATGGTAGAAATCACAGGGTGTTGTCTGAAACCTGTCTGGGGCCCATCACAAGGTCTCCATGGAACCATGCCAAGAAACGATGGTTTCTACACTTCACTATGGCTTGGTTTTGTCACACACACACAGAAACAACATTCTCATGCAGGTTCCATGTTTCTGCCATAGTATAGAGTGTGGACGAGTCTCTCACACATTGCAGCAGTTGTCACTGGATTCTGAGGAGGAGGAGGAGGGATCAGAAGCCTTTGCAATCCTTCAACTGCGCCTGGTCAATTTTTTTAGGCCAAGTGTGAGAATCAGTCTATTTTGGAAGGGGAGGGGGGTTTCAGGAGGGAAGAGGGTGTGGGGACAAGACCCAGTTCTCGACCCAGTGAGCAGGCACTGGAAGAAACAAGCTGCTCCGTTGGCTTCGTTCTTTGGGCTGTCTTTATCCCCAGCAGTGAGAGCTGCCCTGAGGAACCAGTAGTTTCTCCAAAAGAGAGGGACTTGCAAGGGAGTTTCCAGTTTGGATGCTATTCTTTATACAAGCAGAGGTTTCTCTTCAACTTGGAGTTATTTAGAGCTCAAATGGTTCTGCAATCTGTGGGGTCTCAATAAAAAGTACTGAACTTCAAAGGACTGAACCGGGGACGCTGCTTGCTTGCAGCTCCTCCGTCTGCGCCAGCGAGTTCTCCACGGGCCCCGTGCTTGCTCCTCCTCCCCCCTTCCCGGCGTGGGTGGCAGCTGCACCGGACTGGGGGCGGCGGGCAGGGAAGGGATGTGGGCTTAACTCACTGGCTGCAGCCAGGGGCCGGCGGCCCAAGGGCGTTGTCATTTGGGGCCATTTGGGCTAGGAACTCTGTGTTTTTGTTGTGGGGTGGGTTTTACTTGCATTTTAATTGCATTTTATTTATACCACGACTGAGTTCTATTGTTGTTTTATGGGATTGCCTGGGGAGTGCGTGGGCACCACCCTTGGGGTGGTGTTGGGCAGGGGAAGATATGGCGTTGGGGGATTAACACGTCATCATAGAAGGTGTGACAGATGTTTGGTATCTGTCCCCTCTTCTGGTTATTCCCCCAACTGGGAGGTTCCAGGTAGCTTTATCAACTGCCCCTCGGGCCTGACGGTGCTGCTGCTCAATGCCAGGTTGGTCGACAATAAAGCATCCCTCATCCATGATTTAATTGTGGAAGAGGGGGCCTACCTGGCTTGCATTACAGAGACCTCACTTCTCTCCAGATGCATACCTGCGGCTTTGAAATGTCGCTGGCAGAAGAGAACGGGCTGTGCCACCTCGGGCAGCAGCAGCCTTGGAAATAGCCTTGTTTAGGGTGCCGAATTGACCACCGGTTTTCACAAACGCCGCTTGCAAGCAGCTTAGGCTCTCCTCTGCGCAAACCCACTCGTGCACCAAAGGAGCATGTGGGCTGCATGAAGGGCATGACCAATAGGCGCTTGCCCTGAGAAGCCCACGACCCCTGCCTTGCCTCCCTCTCGACTCACTGCTAACTTGCCCCTGGCATCCCTTGGGTCAGTGTCCATGGCATGGGTGGCAGAAAATGATACTCTAGGCCATGGGTCCTCAAACTACACCCCACAGGCCAGATCCGGCCCACCATGCCCAATTATCCAGCCCGCCTCGGAAGTTTTGAACTTGCTGTGCCCACACCTGAGATCATTTGGGCTCAGAGAAAACAATCTCTGAGCAAGCAAACCGCTGCCTCAGCGCATGTGCACCCACCGGAGCCACTGCTGCCTCACCACGCGTGCGGCGAGGCGGCAGCTCGCTCGCTCCGAGATCCTATTGGAGCAAGCCGCCCCCTCGCCGCACGCACCCATCACCACCTTTCAATTGCCCCCATTGAAAAAGTTTGAGAACCCCTGCTCTAGGCACTAGGCCAGAGAGCTTTGGTTGCCGGGCTGTATAGGAATTAAATAAAACACTAGGCAATACAGAGTCCCAGCTCCAACAGCAAGTTTAAGTCAAAGTCATAGAGCAGGACGAGGTCAGGGAGTATTTTGTGAGGCCAGGCAAGGCTGCAGTCACAACAGGCAAGGGGTCCTGGGCAAGAGGTCCACACCAGAAGGAGAAGAGAATGAGGAGCATGTAGCCCTCCCTGCCACATTCCCAGCAGCCCACTCTTGAGGAAAATCTACCCACCATGGTGAGAAATGCTGCCCAGGGCTGCCAGATGCTGCATGCCTACCTCTGGACCAGGAATGACCTGAGCATGTGCATCTACCTTTGGGGCAGTACCGAGACAGAGGAGCAGGTGCACGCTGCATGTTACAAGAATGGCTTGCTCTTGTCGCCAGAACAAATGAGAAAGAGCAGCTTCACCTACACCTCTACCCAGTGCAAGGACAAGGGGCATGCCTGCCACAAGAAATTAAGTGAAGTCTTCCCCCAGCAACAAGCACTCCCCCCCACCCCACTGAATCATGCTCTTCTGCAACAAGCTGGTGCGGCTGCTTCTCAGATGCAGGGACAAGAGGGAGTGGCATCCCCCCCCCCCCCAGCTGCCCAGGGTATACATCTGTCCAACAAAGGGCTGGTCACCAGCAAGCATGACCCCATCCCCAGCTCTCACCCTTCAGGTCGGCCCACCCCATCCCACTGGGGAGCACAGCCAGCAGCAACCCGCTGTGCCTCCCCACCACCCAGCGTCAGAAGGGGAAAGCAGCTGGAAGCCCAAGCTGGCAGGGTGGCAAGGATGCAATCCAGAGACGAGCACCTTAAGGGTTCTTAGTTCTGTGCTAAAGCGATTCAGAACCAAAGCTGTCACATCTTGCAGCACCAGCTCCCTTATGATGGCTGCTAATAGGCTTCTAATTCAAGAAAATGATCAGTCCACAAGAAAGGCATTTAATCTTGCCTCACTTCCCCTCACTAAGGATTCATTTGGTTCCTACAGATATAATTGGCTTTTGTTCTGTTATGCTCTTGTCCTTGATAAACTTAATTTGCCTGGAATAGTATGGAATTGTCTTTCCTGGTGTAACAGCACGATGCAATGGCCCCACCCCAGATACACACTAGGCCTTGAACTTGGGGGCTTGCATGCGCCCAGTGGCAAGAGCAATGCAGCAGCAAGGCCTGCTGACCCCTCACAGTGCCCCATGCCTTTGCTCGGCACGGGAGTGAATGGAATGAATGGCAGTGCTGGAAAGGAAAAAGCAGTTAAGCATTAATCCCCAACTGAAGGCGTAGCCACCAGATTAATCCACCACAAACAGTGTGTGTGAACTTGTGATGCTCAAAACCAAAATCCAAAGTTCACACATGCCCTTAATTCATAAAAGAACATTTGCAGAGATAAATGCATTTTATTAATGCAGTTTAGTGAGAAGTGAATTCTGTGAAAGCTCCTACCCTCTCTGGACAAGACACTGTAAAACAGTCAGCTGTAGCAAACCGGTTAATCCTTCACCAAAGTCACATAGACATATGAAGAGGAACAGGGCCTGAGGCCTTGGAACATGGAAGGGTTGTCTCCCCCGAGAAGAGGGCCTAACAACTCTTTACAAACCAATGGACACGAGGCCACAAAGGAAAGTTCGCACGAAAGACACAAGCCTTCATCCTATGGAAAACGTGCCAGTTCTGGGCAGTTTCTCTATCTTGCTAAACTTGAGAGAAAGGAGGCTCACTGCCTGAAAGCTGGCCACTGCGGATTCTAGACATGGACATTCAGGCCACTCTGAATTTTCCAAAATTACAAACCACAATTTACACAAATTAATTGCTTATGCAATCATGTGGCTTTGAAAATGAAATATGTAAAACAAAAGTCCACTAGGCAAAATCTGGATCAATTACTACAAAAGAGTCCCGGACAAGGACAGGAACTATTGCCAGCAACTTCTTAATTGGCTTGTACACAAGCTTGAGAATCCATGACAGGCACATGCTAAACTGGTTCTGTGCAACAAAGTTAAAGTTGTCAATTCTTTTCTTTATCAGATGCTTAAGATAAAGAACTCAATGGAACTGCTGGGAAATATGGATTTTTTTTCAGGTGTTACCACAAAAGGGTCACTTGGAATGTTGCGATTGTGCTAAAGTAAGTTACAAGCTACAGTGTCTGATTTTCTGAACTTTTGCAGAAAGTCACCATTTTTGAAACTGGCGAAGTTTGAAAACATAATGCTGAGCAAGTGTCAATCCAGCTTACTTCCAAATAGTCCATGCCCTGTTTCATATGAAGGGAGATGCCAAGTGGAGAAGCAGCTGTGCTATGAACAGGAAGACAGAAGCAACTGCTCCCAGTCCTCAAGTTCTAAGCAGCCATTTTGCTTGCTGCCACACCTCTGATTTGCCTCTGCAAGGCAAAGTTTTTCCTACAGGATGCACAAAGTTCTCTGTGCTACCCATCCTCGACACAGAGACCTGCAGCAGGCGAGCAGTTGGTCATCCAGATTTGTCCTCCTAGACTGCATTTCTAGGAGTGCCATTATGTGCCACTGCCTTCAGACCAGGGATGTTTGCTTGATGGCTGCAGGATCGGTGAGAGGAAATGCCCACTTCAAAGACCTCATGGATGGCCTTGCGGAAGCAGTGGAAATTGTAATCTATTAAACCTGTGAGAAGTAAAAAGAACAAACATCGGTTAACAGGAGGAGGCAAAGCACTGCCCACCTGGGACCTTAGCTTACTGCCTCACTACATTTGCTTTAGCCAATGTCTTTGAGCCAGAAGTGTGCTCTACAGGATAGCAGGTTCACGTCCCAAAGCTGCAGCATCTGCTCTGCCTACACTTATTCTGCAAAGAGTTAACAAGAATGACTCTTCTTACACCTCTGGCTGGCTACAGTTCAGTCACAAACTGCCTCCAGCAACAAAACAAATGCAAGCTCGACAACCCCAGAGGGGGCTGCAGTGGAACATGCCTTCTGCCTCAGAACTCAGATCATACACATCAACAAGTCAAGATCCAAGCGAGCTTTTGCCTACATTTGGGTTCTCTAGCAACTAGAACAGGGTCACACCAGCAATTAGCATGTTACCTAAAATATGGTTTCATACATGAAGAACCCACCTGTAATGATTCTAAAGTGCTGAGTTAGCCCTGTGAATTCAATACATATCTTGGAAAGGCTTTTCTAAGTGGGCTGAACTAAGGTAGTAATCAGTCTGGAGCATTCACAAAGACAAGAAAAGCAGCACCAAAAGCAAAAAACTCATTATCCTTCCAGCACAAAATGACTGTACACAATGAGTGCCAAAGGAACAACCACTTTTGATTAAAGGTAGGTTTACATGCCATGAGAAGCCATGGTGAACTCTTACTGTGGAGAGTCATCTGGACCCAGTTCTAGAATTGCCACATGGTAGGATTAGTTTTCTGAAACTGCAGAGAGAATCAGTGGTCTATTTCCACATTTCAGCAGGACTTCCCTAGACATTTGGACTCAGGATCATCACTTTACCTTTGTTGGTATGGAAACACCATAAAGCCCCCTGGCAAAAACAGTCACAGAACTGGCTGCTTCTAGCCTTTGATCTCTGCTGCCCTCAGCTCCCTAGCAACAGAAGTGTCATTGCCTGCCAAGCAAAGCATCTATCTCCCTGATTACTTTTGGAAACCAGAAGATGCCTCTAAAATACACAGAAGGAGACTAGTTCTTGGCCCTATGGAAGCTGCAGTATACTCATTTAAAAAGCCCACTGAATTATGGGGAACACAATACTTTTCTCACCTTTGCGTTCAAAGCTTTCTTCTCTAAGGATACACACCAAGGCCAGAAACTTGGTCACTTCTTTTAAATAGAGAACAGTTGTGTTATTGAGTTTGATAATTGCCATAGACTCCTTATCATATGCACTTCCACTACCATCTTCCTTTAGCCTACCAGAGAGAGAGGAGGGAGGGGTGATCAATGTTCATTTGGGATTTTGGGACAGTATTTCAGTTATACTTGAAATTGTAATCAGTTTCTTGATCATTCACCCTTTCTTGATCAGTCACCATTAGCTCAGATCCCATCACCTTATACTTACGTGGGGCTTCCCCTGAAGACGGTCCGAACACTTCAATTGGTGCAAAATAGAGCTGCCAGGTTGCTGACGGGGACGGGGCGTTATGCTCACATGACTCCAGTCCTCCGTCAGCTTCACTGGCTTCCCATTGAAGCCCGGGCCCAATTCAAGGTGTTGATTATGACCTACAAAGCCCTAAACGGCTTGGGTCCTGGCTACCTGAACGAGCGCTTACGTCCGTATATGCCCGACCGCCCTTTGAGATCTGCGGGAGAGTCCCTTCTCCGGGAACCCTCCATGAAAGAAATTAGGAGAGTAAGTACCCGGAGGAGGGCTTTCTCTGCGGTGGCGCCCAACCTATGGAATTCACTCCCCAAAGAGGTCCGCCTGGCACCGTCGTTACTGGTTTTTCGGCGCCAGGTAAAGACCTTTTTATTTAAACATCATTTCAATTGTTAAAACATATGATCTGGCCTGGGCAACTTCTTCTTCCTTCTCTTTCTCCTCCTATATTTTTATTTTATACTGATAATTTTAATTTTGTATTTGTAAATCAATGTATTTTTTGTATTGTTATATTTAATGGTAATTTATTATGTACTATTGTATTTCAATGTATTTTATCATGTTGTAAGCCGCCCCGAGGTTTCAGCAAGGAGCGGCATAGAAATGTTATAATAATAATAATAATAATAATAATTTCTTGTCACATCATTTTTTCCATTGTCCCATTACCCTTACTTACAACGAACTGCATTTGCCATTTTGACACGCATTCTCCCAGTCTGGAGGGATCCCTTTCGAGCTCCTCCTTCTTTGGTCACCCTCAGTAGTTATCAGCAAACTTGGCCACTTCACTGCCCACTCCTAATTTCAGGTCATTTATGATTAAGTGAAGATCACCAGTGCTAATACAGATGCCATTGGGACCCCACTGTTTAAATTCCTCCATTAGGAAAATTCTCAGTAATTCTGTTACTGAGCTGTATGTTGACCTCTCATCTAATTCCAAAAGTGCTATATTTACTCAGGAATTTTTGGTGAGTATTTTGTCAAACACTCTTGACAGTCCAAAGAAACATCAACTGTATCACCCTGTCCATGTGTCTTCTAACACACTTAAAGAACTCTATAAAGTTTGGTGAGACAGGCTTATTTCTGTGGAAGTCATAGTAATTCTTTCTCAGCTGGACTTTTAGGTGCTTATAAATTACCTTTAATAATGTTTTCAACCAGTTCACACAGGAAAAGATGTTAAGCCTGTAATTTTCAGAATCCTGCTGGATCCCCTTGCTAAAAATTGGCACTACGAGTACATTGGCCATTCTCCAGTCCTCTGGTTCAGAGACTGATCTTAGGGAAAAGTTACATCTTTTTGTTATGAGGTTATTAAGTTTACATCTGAGTTCTTTAAGAACTCTACAATGCATATTGTGTGGACCAGTAATGTATTAATTTTCAGTTTGTCAATAAAGCCGAGAGCTTCATCTTTCTTCATTTCTTGCCTCAGTTCCTAAGAATTCTTTCCTAAAATAACAGTTCAACAGAACAGCATGTGTCCTGCGTCTCCTGCAGTGAAGACAGATACCAAAGTAATCCCAGCATTAGGGATGAAAATCAAAGTACTGAACTATTCATCACAGAGAAGACCCTCCTGAATTCTTTTCAGACCTTGCCACAGTTTGCACAGGCAGAGATCTTGGAAAGGCTAGATTTACTGAGAGACCATCTAAGGGAAATAAAGTAACATAACGCAGATGGAAATCTAAAAAAGGAGGAGCTGTATCTAGTGGTGGTTGCAAATGATAGTATGCAAGCTCAGGTCCCAATAAGTAATTTAAAGAGAAGAAATACAGATTAACTTACCAGGCTTGAACCAAACTAGAAGTGACTGCACTGTATCTATGCTTAAGAACTGTGCTGATTCAACAGTATAAACTGGCAAGCTATGAGATACCTGGCCAGTGGGGAGCTGGGATTTAACAAACAGTTCAATGCACCTATTTGGCCTAAGATAGATATCAACTGCCAAATAAGATCAAATGTAAGTGCATTAACTGACATGTCTTGACACAGAACACAGTCAACAAGTTCACCAATAAGAAAAATTCCTTTCATGGGACAGAGTTGGCTGGAGGGCCTCTCAGCAAGAGATGAAAAGCCAGCATAAAGAAAAAAGAACTGAAAAATGGGCTGGCTAACAGACGGCATTAATAGTTTAAACAGGCAAGTGGTAGTACATGGTTGGCTGGCTAGGCCAGGAGAAGGATGCACTGCATTGCGATGCAACGTTATATTCCTTTCAGCACCAGGTAAAAATCTTTTTATTTGCCCAGTATTTTAATATTTAGATATTTTAACTAGGTTTTTAATATGGTCATCCTCAGTCACTTTATGTTATATTTGTAATGTTATTGTATTTTGTTGTATTTATTTGTTATGATTTATTTATGTTGCAAGCCGTCCTGGGACATTTGTATAGGACGGGGTAAAAAAATTTAAAAAATAATTAAAAAATGGTCCAACTCCTATTTGGCCTGCTGATTCCAGAAGACGATGCTGGGGGATTATTGCCCTGTGCCATGGCCCACATAGCAATAATCGGTGGACCATGGCAATGGGTACCACAGGGTTCTATTTGATCCCCTACACTATTTAATGTCTACATAAAACTGCTGGGCATAGTTACCTGGAGGTGTGGGCTGAGATACCAGCAATATGCAGGTGATGGTCAGCACCTGCTCTCCTTTTATCAAACCTGGGGGAGACAGTGGCAGCTCTAAATCAGTGTCTGAGTGTGGGACTGAACTGGATGAGGGCCAAAAACTTAGACTCAATCTAGGCAGGATGAAGGTACTGTGAGTGAGTGGTCCATCTGTCCAGTTGGGATCAGTCTGCTCTGGATGGAGTTACACTCCCCTAAAGGCATGGTTCATAATTTGGGAGCTCCTGGACCCAGAGTTGTCAGTTGAGCCACAAGAAAACTTGGTGGCAGAGAATATCTTTTATCAGGTATACCAATTATGACCCTACCTGGACAGAGAGAGCCTAGCTACAATCATCCACGCTCCGATAACCCTCATTTGGATTACTGCAGTGCTCTGTATGTGGGGCTGTCTCACAGTCTGAAACTTCAACCCAAAACAGGACAGCAAAACTGTGAGTGGAGATCGGCACACAACAACAGACCACATCAGTCCTCTTCCAGCTGCAGTGGCTGTAAGCTGAAGTCCAGGCCTGATTTGAAATGCAAGGACTTACATTCAAAGGCCTAACTGACTCGTGGCCTGGTTATCTGAAGGATCGACTCCTCCCATATGCACCTACATGGACCCTGATATCATCTCTGGGGGGTCCTTCTCCAGGAGCCCCTTCCAAAGGAAGTGAAGTGGGTGGCCACCAGTAGGATGGCTTTTTATGTTGTGGCACCTAGCTGTGGGATGAGCTCCCCAAAGAAGTGCACCTGGCACCTATGTTGGAGTCTCTTGGGTGCCAGGTAAGGACCTTTCTGTTCTTCTAGCATTTTTGCAGGTAAACCTTTTACTTCATGTTAATATTGCATTTTATTTTGCACAACTGCTATGCTTCTCTGCTGATTCAATTGCATTTGCAGTTTTGTTGATTTACGTTAATTTTATCTTGTATGTGTATAACTGTGTGCATTTTTATTTTTTCTTAAATTTTATTAACTACCCAGAGATCCTCAGTCACCAAGCAGTATAAATATGAAATAAATAAATATTACAAAGAAAAAACAACACTCGGCTTCTTTCCTAGTTGCTCTTCAGCAACCACATGTGCCAGACTGCATGCAGAATTCTGTGGTTCTCACTTGCCTTTCTGTTATCTGAGTCCTTCAGTTAACTTCAGGCAACAAAGAGAAACACTCAGTTTGCAATAGCAGGCACAATAGGAGCCAGCTTCCGGGCCAGACAGCAGTCAAGTAATAGGACTTATTAAAGTAAGCAAAGCACCATCTCAGCAATTTTCATTAACAATCCACAATCTCAAACAGATTCCATAACTCTCAGTGATATTCCAGAATAAAGACTTTTCCTTTGTGCTTGAAAAAAATCCTGAAGTTCTCGTAAATGGTTCTATAAGCATGGCACTTACCCATAAATACAAGAAACATCAATGACTACATCAATCATGTCACAACATAGCTCATAGGACTGCATGTCAACTGGAGAACTATCTGTAGCAATATAGATCTTGCTGACAACATCAAAGAGAAAAGCTTTCTCAATCCCTGAATTCTAAAGAAAAATAGACAGATTTAGAATTGTAAACTGTCAGATTTCACAAATACAGAACTATTGTACACCTTGGTATCAATTAAATTTAAAGCAGCAAAAAGGGTAACGGTGGAATTAATTTAACTCTTTTGCAAAGGATAGGCATACAGAATGGTCTTTCACCACTAACCTGAGGATGCTGGGTCCATATCAAAACATCCAAACCTATCTGAAAGGCACTTCTGCCACTGAAAGGACTTTATACTACTCCTCTTGCACATGAAAGGCACAATATACAATTGCCAAATTGCCAGTTACACTCGCAGTTTGTTTCCAGCAGATAGCAGGGGCGGAGAGAAGAGATCTGATCTCCTTTAGTTTGTAAGTTACCTCAAACCAATGAACAGCGGTTAGGAACTGCATGAGCTTTCAGGCAGTGATGAGCAGCCTGGCACTCAGTAGCGGCTCCTGTTTTAGAGAGTGCCAAAAAGACCAATGGCCACACTCACTGGTCTTACAAAAGGCAGGCTACCTATATGAGAAAAAGCTATCTGTTCTGGACTAGTTTCATTTTATTATATTTAATATATAATTTGGAGATAATTATACTAAGTATAAATGTTGCTGGAGAAGACTCCTGCGAGTCCCTTGGAGAGCAAGGCAATCAAACCGGTCAGTCCTAGAGGAGATCAACCCTGACTGCTCTCTAGAAGGCCAGATCCTGCAGATGAAACTCAAATACTTTGGCCACCTAATGAGAAGGAAGGACTCCCTGGAGAAGAGCCTGATGCTGGGCACAATAGATGGCAAAAGAAGGAGGGGACGGCAGAGGATGAGGTGGCTGGATGGAGTCACTGAAGAGGTTGGTGTGAGCTTAGGTGGACTCCGGGGGATGGTGGAGGACAGGAAGGCCTAGAGGAATGTTGTCCATGGGGTTGCGATGGGTCGGACACGACTTTGCGACTAACAACAACAAAGTATAAATGTGAAGCTTGGCTTAAATCTTTATTTTTATCATTAATATTAGTAATAGTTTCAAAAGCCTAGAATTAAACCTACCTAGCCTATCTGCAAACTGCCAAAACTTTCCTTCTGCCTATAATAGCCTCCTGCAATCTGGTACCTTCCAGATTTCAACTTCCACTACCCCAGCCAGCACAACCAAAGTTCACAACATTGATAAGTTATGGCCTAAGCATCTGGAGGACACCAGGCTGGGGAGGGCTGGTTGCAGCTTCTGACTTGTCTTCACACTATGGAGGGGGGTTCTCATGCTTCAAAGTGACCTCTCACGTTCATATTCTGGTGCTTTCCAGCTGAAAGGCAGGTGGAGAAAGAAGTCACGTTGGGAAAAGTGCATCAGTAATGGGTACTACTGCCTACAGAGCCGGGCTCTTGCTTGACCTGGTCGAAAGCAGCCATTGAACTCTACATTAGAAGTCCTGCATAGATCAGTCTTTGGGGTGGCTTACATAATTGTTTGGGCTTTTGTGGCTCACACAGGTTCGTGGTTTTATATATTTTGGAATCTCAACTTTGGAGTTACCTATTCTAAGCAACTATGCTAATTACTTGGTGTTTCTTATCCATTTAACTTTGTAAACTGCTCAGAGAGCCTTCCTGGCTAGGGCACAGTAGATAAATGTAATAAATAAATAAATATAACACCTTCTAAATAATTATACCAAACAATTACAGCCTCAACAACTTCAAAACCAAGACCATATGCTTACGGACATTACCCAGCATTAATGTCAATTTTTAAAAGGATAAAGAATGAATTACTACTCACCGATATAAAGATATTTAACAAATTTTCCAGGGTTGGCAACTGTGGGATGAGCTTTTGTACCACCTTACTGAAAGCTTCAAATATTGAATGATCATAGATGCTGGTCAAATAAAAGCTACAAAGAAGAACCCAGCGGTTAATTCCTGAGTGATTCTAACTTGTGCTTGCAGCTTTAGCCAAAACTGGAAGCATCACCACTGGAATTACCACAGTGATCAGGCCCATGCTGAACAGTTTGAAATACATCTTTTAAGTTTAAGATTTATCTTCCAGAAGTCAATCCAGAGGAAAAAAGAAGTCAAAAGTATAACAGAAAAAGAATTTAAGATAAAAATGCTCTCTAGCCAGCTTTAGTTTGTAGCAAACAGTTTTAGTTTAGTTTGCAGAGCATTCACTAACTGCCTCAGACTTTACTGGCAGCGTAGGCAAGGAACATCCCACTAACCTTCTTCATGTGCCCTGACATGATCCAAAAGTCATTATAATGGGAAGCAAGTATAAACTGCTCACAGCATCTAGTACTATCATCTTCTTTAGCAGTATTAGACTAAATAGCATTCAGCCTTGTATTCCTGTGAGAAACTGTGTAAGGGCCTTGATAGATATCAGCCTGGTGGCCTGCTTGCTGCATATGCAGTATTCCCTAAGATAAAGATAAGCAAGGACAGCTGAGTTGTCTCCCCATCCAGCTGAAAGCTTCAAATACCTCCTAGAGAAAGAGGCCTCTATAAAATCCTTAAGATAATTAGATAAAACAAGTTTTCCGCCTGGAATCCAGAGTGAAAAGTTGTCCATGAAACACAGCAACCCAAAGGGTTGGGTTGGTCCAAGAAACCCCCTGAAAATGAGTGTAAGTCTTGCTTAGCTTGCTTACTGATAAATTGTATCCATATTCTATCAATAGTAATTAAAGCACTTCTGGTCCTGGGGTTCAATTCACCATGGTTTCAGGAGGTGTTAAAACTGAACCTTAGAAAACAGAATTTGGGTTTTCACCACACGATGTAAACAAATATGAAACATGAATGAGCTATATAGGTTACTATGGTCTCAGACCAAATAAACAGCATTTCCGAGCCATAACAAGTAAGTTACTAGCTTTAGTAAATTTTGTTCTGTTTCAAGAGAGATGCTTGGCAGGGCACTCAACTAGCTCTTGTAAGACATGAGCGCCACTGGGATCTTCCATCCCTCTACAGTCACTGAAGAGTGGACATTCAACCGAGCTACTGCAAATGGAGAGATGGGACTGAAGGGCTATTCCACTGATTCAGCTGAGAGACCTCCTTGATTTGGTTCCTCATCTCCCTGAAGATTTGAATGCCTCTATATGGTTTATATTATGCTACATGTGTTAACAGGTCAGTATGTTTGCGCTAAAGGCAATAGCTGCCTTGTGAACAGCCAGTTAATGTAACTGTGTATATACAGTTACATTAATTGTAACTATGTATATACAAATATCTGCATCCATCTGGCTCTAGTCCACAAAGATACATCTTACATACGCTTAAGATGCCACACATTTTTCTACAACAGACCCACACGGCCTTCTCTGAAAGGAGCATTAAGAAGTTTATCTAAGACCCGATTATCAGAAACTTAAAGAGTTGCTTGTTTTCCCTTTTCTCATTTCTTTTTGCTTTTACATCATTCATTTTAGTCTGTAAGCTGAAAAGGGACTCTCTGGCAGTTCTTGCAGCCTTTTGGGACGAGCAGAAGAAAAACGTTTGATGAAGTATCAGCTATGGCTGTAATTTTTCTGTCAATTAACACACCACCCTGGCTTAATCTAACCCAAAGTCTTAGCTGCCCTCTTGACTTCCTACCCAGAGTTCCATTTTGGTCATTACCACCTTGGAACAGCACACTTCCCCACTCCTCATCACTAAATTCAGAAAGCTGCTAAGAAAGAAAGGGTGTTCCTTCAGGAGCTGCTGCTGCTTCAGGGAACCTCCCTAGATAGGAGACTCTGTAGAGAGGGAACTGCAGGAAGAGGGAGGAAAAACAGCACACTCTCAAGAATCTGTTAAAAAGTGTGGGGTACCCCCCACACACTAACATGTTGCTCCCAAACCCAAAATATTACCCTGTAATAACTAGGCAGAAGAAAAAAGGTCCTGCTCCCCAAACTTAATCAATTGCTTTTTTAAAAAAGATGTCAACTTTTCAGCTTCAGATTGTTAATAAATTTCAAATATTCATGAAATCCATAGGTGTTCTCCAATTCAGAACAGGTATTTCCCCTTCATGCAAAAAGGATGAATTTTGTCTAAATTACTCCATATCCATGTTGTAGTAGGCAGTCTACACCTAAAGATTCTCCACCCCTTTTTATTTATCTGCGGTTTTAAATGTTATGATCAAATCCTCTAAAAAATATCAAATGTCCCAGTACTAGTACAGAAAGTCCTCAGATTGATGAGCTTCACTGGCCATAATGAAAATATCACACTGAAGCCAATAATCCCCTACAGTGTTTCACTTACCTAAGATGCAGTTTTTCTAGGCCAGCATCACCAAGATCATCATTAGCTCTCTGATGAATATCCCTCTGAGTTTCTATTTTATGATCATCTGATAAGCCATCAACTTTATGAATAAAAACCTCAAAGTTCATTTCTGGATTGATTTTGTAAGCTTTAGAAACTGTAATGTGCAGCCTGGTTAAAGCTTCCATGTAGTCATCCTGCAGAACAGATTAATATGTATTCTTAGTCACTCCACAGCTTATTATCCATGCATTACCCATAACAGCTACAAACCACAGCTAATATGCCTACAATTCAGAGCTACTATTAAAGAAATAGATATTAGGAGAAAGTCAAAGAGATTCTATGAATAATTAATATTTTCCCCCATTCCAGAAAGACCAGATGCCACTTACTGAAGCCCTTACAAATAGTTCAACTACATACTAACCTATACAATTCCAATCATTGCAAAATTGCAAGTTATTCTACATCAAAAGTAACTGTACTGCTATGAGACAGAAGCATCACCAATAACCCTCTCCGTTTTTTCTAGAAGCAGCAAATTCTCTCCAATGTTATATTTCACAATGACCTGTGCATCTATAACATAGATGAGGGCTCCAGTTCCTCTAAAGATCATCTCGTAGTCAAATGTGGGATCAAAGAAATCCATTTGTCCTGGAAAGTCCCATATTTGGAAGTTCACAAAGGAGCTGTTAGAAATGTCATCCTTATAGATTTTGTTGGTACTCTCCAAAAACAAGGTTTCATTGGGAGACATTTTGTGAAACACCACCTGTCAGTAACAACAGCAAAAAATGCAAGTGTTATGTACTTGTTTTATTACGTATTTAAACTTTTCTTCCAAGGAGCTCAGGAATACATAGGTCTTTTTATCTGCAGAAATGCCAAGCCCAATAATTAGCCCAATTAGGGTCATAAGTGACATAGGGTCACTTGCTCCTGGCCCGACTCTGGCACCGCAACTGCTCCACTGTGCTGCACCCCCAGAGCAAGCCCAGGACGCAGAAGGCAGGCATCCTGAGCTAGTCACTCCGGGGTGAGCAGCCTCGCAGTTCGAGGCTGCTCCGACGCCCGGCGAGGCATTTCGCGCCCCAGCGCACTGTCGCGGAGCTTGGATCCATGCCGGATCCTCGGGGGAACGGGGGAAGGGCGTGGGGCCGCAGGCCGCTCTTTCCGGCACATCGGAGCATTCTGCACCGGGAGCCTCCAGCACGGAAGGAGCCTCACCTTCTGGATCGAGGACTTCCCGCTGCGCCGCAGCCCCATGAGGAGGATGCGAGGCTGCTTGGAAGAGTCGCCGCCGCCGCCGCCGCCGCCGCCCGAGCCCAGCCCGCAGCCGCCGCCGCCCAGCTCGGCCGCGCCGTCGTCGCCCCCGGCCCCGCCGTCGTCGTCGTCGTCGGCCCCGTAGCCGAAGTCCTTCGGAAACGAATCCGCCGCCCCGATGCTGCTGCCCCCCGGCAAGGTGCCCGCCGCCGCCGCCGTGGCCTCCTCCGCGGCGCTCACGGCCCCGAACGGCAGCGAAGCCATGGCGAGCGGCCTCGGCGCAATCCCGTGCCGCCTCCGCGGCCGCGCGGGCGGATTGGCTGGCGGGGCGCGGCGGGGCGGGGC